CGGTGGGAGGAGGATTGGTGGGTGCGGGAGTGGGGGCGGTTGTGGGTGCGGGAGTGGGGGCGGTTGTGGGCGCGGGAGTGGGCGCGGGAGTGGGTGCGGGAGTGGGTGCGGGAGTGGGTGCGGGAGTGGGCGTGGGGTTGCTGTACTTCAGACAGGTGCCACTGATGCAGTGCTTGCTCGGGGCACAGATGGTCCCGTCGATCATCGGGTCGCCGTACGACCAGCAAGAGCCCGAGGATTTCTCCAAGCAGGTGAGCTTGCAGGACGACGAATACGAGTCACAGTAGCCATCGTAGCCCAGGAGGATGCACTGCTTTAGCGGCGTCAGGCAAAGGGGCTTGCCATTGGAGGCGGACTTCGGGTCGCAGGGGAGATCCGCCGGGGGGTTGGAGCTCAGGTCTGCACACACGGTGAGGAGCAGGAGGGGAAGGTCGGACGTGGCAGGTTAGAACTGGGGGGGGGGGGACTGACACACAGGCAGGGCCGGGTGTGTGCATGACGAAATCCAACAAGCCCCTGGGAGGGGGGCGAGGGGGGGGGGGAGGGGGGGAGACCCAGTACGCACTGTCCTGATGGCAGGAGGTGGAGGCAATGTTTCTGTTGATGCTGGACACGGTGCAGGTGGAGAAGTGCGCCGGCATCAGGAGACCGCCACCAGGCGAAGGGGACATCACCCACTTGTAGTTGTTGCAATTGTTGCCGGAGCCATCGTGGCTGGAGTGGACGCGCGCGCAAGCGCGTACGCACACGCGCAAGCAGGTGCGAATCGATTGACGGTTAGCATGCTGACCAGGGTGCGCTCTCGGGAGAGGAGGAAGACAGGGCGAGCGAAGGCGCAATTTCGGAGGGTGGGGGAGGGGGGAGCAGGAGCGATGACGTACTCGGAGCCCAGGTTGTGGCCGATCTCATGGGCCACAGTCAGACCGGCCAGGAAACTCAGCGCATTGTTGACCGATGAGGCGAAGGACGCCCGACAGGAGGTGCCGATGTCTGCAACCAAGAGGAGGGGGGGGGGGAGGGGGACCGGGGGAGGGTATGGTGAGAAAAAGGGGGGCAAAACAGAGGGAAACAAGAGCCACGACACTTCCCGTCCCAGGGCCGCCCTCCTCCTCGAAAGCGTGGCTAGTTCTCCTACCTTCGCCGCCCTTTCGGGGGGGAGGGGGGGGGAGGGGGAGCACCAGTACCACCACCGACGCAGGAAAAAGGATGGGAGAGGGAGAGACACCCTCACAGGCAGAGGGGGCGGAGGGGGGGGAGGGCGGCCAACCAGCCAGCACACGTACAAGCCAGACCGGAGACATTGTTGGTGAAGCGCTGTCCGGTCAGCAGGGCCGCCACATCGAAGTGGTACTTGGACCGGAAGTTGTTCATCTGGAAGTTGTTGAAGTGCTCCAGCGTGGTGTTGGAGTCGCTGCTCACCGAGAAGGGCACCTGGCCGGGGTTGGCGTAGGACACGATGTTGGTGATCACCAGGCGCGGGCTGCCGCGCGAGCCGAAATCCGTCACCTTGTACACGTTGTTGGCCAAGTACAGCAGGGAGTTGGCGAAGGCAGTGATCTCCGTGGCCGAGAGCCCCTGGCCGGCGAGCTTCTGATTGAAGAAGCCGTCCACCACGGCCAGCACCTCCACCACGGGCGACGCGGCGGCTTGGCCATGTAGCGCGCCCTCGTCCAGGGGGTTTTCGCCGGTCACAGGCGTGGCAAACATGTCGCGGACTGGCGGCCTGTCGCGGAAGAGCCGGGCCTCCGGGGGAACCGCCTTGGCCTCATCCTCCAGCGGGGGGATGATCGGATCCGGGCAGGTGCCCGATGGCGGGGCCCCCTCGCCGGTGTCGCTGCCGCCGGACGGCCATGGCGCCGGCACCGCCTTGATTCCCCGCACGCCGATGGCCTCGGCCATGTGGGCGCCCTCGGCCGCGTCGGCCGCCGACACCGAGGAGCCAGAAAACATGCCTACCACCACATGAGGGAAGCGTGGATGCCCCTCCGACACCGGGGGGTTGTCGGTGGTGGCGGCCCCGGCGCCGGCGCCCGCGGCCGGCCGGTATGCCGGTGCCCGCAAGGCCAGCGAGCTGCCCGAGCTGACCCCCACGGCCTCCGGCTCCATGTCATCCTCAAGGGCGAAGGCCGGACGCAGGGCCAGGAAGGTGGGCACGGCATTCAGCCGGCCCAGGACCGGGCTGCTGGCGGTGTCCTGCTCCGGATCGCGGAAAAACAGATCTGCCACCTACTCATGCACCCGGGGAAGGAGGGAAAAGAAGGGGGGGGGGGGGGGGGGGGGGGGGGGGGGGGGGGGGGGGGAGGGGGGGGGGGCCCCCAGAGATGCAAATACGTGGGATCTGGCCCCCCAGCCCATGCACGGTGGCCTCGGCCCGATCATCATCGCCATCTCCCTGTGTGTGTCCCCTGCCAGGGGAGGCTGTGCCGGCACCCGGCGGCGGCGGCGGCGGCGGCGGAGACACCCCACCGTGCCAACAAGGGAGCAGGCGACACGTCCGTGC